AAACAGCAATTGCTTAAAACTTATTAAATGTGAGTATAAGATCTTACGAATAAGGGAGGACAGTTCTTCTTTTGTGCCGTTTCCTTTCAGGAGATGGGTGATCATAACTCTCCACAACTTCCTATTCCTAGCTATAAGTAATACTTCTCTTCTTAATATCCCTGCCATTTGGGAGGTTACTCATTGTTTACCTTTGCTCCTCTTACCTTCAAGATGTCCTGTGAGTGTCAAATCCTCCAAGCTCTCGTTCCTCATTGTGTCCCAGAAATTTCAACTGTCTCTTTCTAAGTATAACTGTTCATTTCCATTTTTCTTAAAACTTCCTTGTTGATCACATGCTCAGCCCATTGTATTCTTGGCATCCTTCTGTAGAACCATATTTGTTTGGCTCATGTCTCCTTTGCTTGAGAGTGTTATTCATTGATATTACAGGAGGATAATAGGAAAATTTTATGCTTAAACAATAAAAATATTGCATACATTTTAGCAAATACTAGTGGTGTTCCTAATGATTTTTTTTCATTTTAAAATGTGAAACTTGAAAAAGCACCAGGTGAAGATGGCATAGTGACAGACCTTTTGAAAAACACAGAATTCCACATAAGAATTAGCTGCTTACTCAGTGCATTTTTTTTTGGTAATACATTTCACCTAATGCAAGGCAGTAAAGCCACTAAGACAAGGGATTACTGGGTGTGGAAGAATTAGGAACAGAAACAATAACAAGTGGGGACAGAAAAGAGTACTCAGGAGGACAGTAGATATCAATTGACATTGCATTTAAATTTTTGTAGATTAAAGTTGGTAGGAAAGCATATAGGTGAAAGGCAAGTGTGAAAAAAAAAGAAACTTTTAACATTGAACTTACAGCTACATCTAACTAGGTCAATTGTAAATTGATAAAATCTTGATGCCAGTCTAGTATTTTGCTTAAATTAAAAAGTTCTAAGTACGATAGTGATGATCACATCCAAACAATTACCATGAAAGTATTTATAGAAAAGACAAAGAGGCAAACTTATGGTGTTGGGAAAGTGATTGAAGCTGAGCTGCCAGCTCAGGACCAATAATATTGCTGATTCTTCTTTGGACTTTATCAAGGAGCTCATGATAAATAACGGGGACACTGGACCATATATGGTAGCAATAATCTAAGTATGGGTAAATGGAAAACTTATAGTTATGTGTGATAGATTCTGAAAAGAAAAAATAACTTGTCCAACACAGTGAACCAACTTTCTTAATAGCTGACCAAGCAATGGTTTCTATATAGTCTTTCCACTTCATGTCAACTGAAAATGATAGCTTGAGAAGTTGCAACAAGTCACTTTTCTGGAGGTTAGCATCAGCCGTGCTGACTGAAGGCAGAGAGGCGTCTCTCAGATGATTAATGGAGAGAAGTTTAGTTTTGGAGGTGTTAAAATTAACAAGCCAGCTTTTGCCCCCGTTAGACACAAATCATTACTCAGAATTTCAATATAGTAATAGTAATCATATTGTATGACTAAAGAAATAATCAACATCTTGGCTACTGCCACATTGATATCTAATATGTACAAATTATTTTCAGAAGTACTTACAAAGAGATAAATAAATAAGGTGAATTAAAATTTCCAAAAATGTGTTCCCATTATTCAATAACGTAACAATATCTTATTTCTCTCTTTGTGGTTATGTATTTAAAACCAGTGGAAATTTTTTTATATCTCTTAAATTAGTAAGAAATAAAATTAAATATTCACATTTTGTCTATAATACACTTCCATTGAGATTATGTTCACAGCATCAGGGAGCCTGATTGTAAAATTTTACAATCAGGTTCTATGATGAATGGATGTAATGTTTGTAAAACTCTGAGTAGGCTACAAGATAAATTAATATTTGATTTTATTATGCTTTATGACTTGATGTAGATCACTTTAATTGCAAAGACTGCTTGCTTTTAAAAGATTATCTTCCAGAAATACACTGATCAATTTTTTTATTATATGTGAAATAAAAAACAAATATCATTAACTATATTGATTATAAAATAGAGTAGAGAAATCGGTCAATAAAACAAAGTCAAACAAAAGGATGCCAATGTAATCGGTACGAAAAACATTAATATTAACCAGGCGACAAAAATGAAGCATGGTGATTAAGGTTCCAAGTTCAGAATTTTTGAACATGCCTGTGTTCTTCATCAGTGGATGCAAAAAATAAACAGAGGGATGGTGGAGACTATCCAACATTAGTTCTTGAGGCTGGGTAGAGTCTGCTAGTAGTTGGGATTGTTACAAAAATCCATTCCCTGAACAAATTTTTTCTAATTTTTTTTTAACTTAATTTAATTTTTTTTAATTTTAACTTTTTTAATTTAACTTTAATTTTTTAATCTTTTTTTAATTTAATTTTAATTTTTTTTAATTTAATTATGCTAATTAACTATATTGATTTATTTACAATATGGTAAATAATCCTCAGTTTGAATCATGGTCCTCCACAACACCCTTTGCTTTATAAATTCTCTTTTCCTATCTTTCCTAATCCCTGTTTGTCAACAATTTAAACAAACTCATAATGTAGGTTCTGTCTGCTTACCTTCAATAGGCCTTGTGAGTATCAAATTTTCTAAGCCCTCTTTCTGTGTCCAAGAAACTTCAACTTTCTCTTTCTGATTTTAAGTAAGTGTGTCCTTTGTATTTCCATTTTCTCTAAGACTTCCTTATTACTCACATGTTCAGTCCAAAGGATTCTCAGCATCCTCCTGCAGAATCACATCTCTGTTGCCTCTCCTCTCCATCTGTGATGTGATTGTCCAGCTTTCACTGCCATATAGGAGGACTGATATTATGTCATAGTTCAGTAATTCTTTTCTTTGTTTCTCATTAAATTTTCCTGTTTCTTAATACTTTGCTTAGTTTTGGGAAAGCACTTTTGCTATCCCAGTGTGCCTTCAGATTTCAGTGTCATATTTTAAGTCTTGTATGGCAACGCTCCTGAAAACTTTACCAACATTCATTGCTTAATACCAGTTTTATTTGTAAAAGATTTTCTTTCATAATTAAATCTTACATAGTGAAACACTGTCATGGTTGTTATGGAAGGAACAGAGAATAAAGCACATTTCTGTGCTTTATGCTCTGTATGTCATAGTACATAGATTCAAAGGAGACAGGTATAACAATAAGTGAGTTGTACTAGATGAGATATCTCTAAAAATGGACTGTAATCAGAACAATCTATTTCAATTTCCCTAAAGATTACTTGGATCCAAAGAGACATGAAGGAGGCCAGAGAGTCCAGCAGCCAAAATGTAATAATAACAAAGATAAGGATGTTAGTCTGAATGTAAATAATGTTAATGATGTCTTTTCATCTTGGAAACTAAGTGCATTTTATGGAGCAAGTCAAGTGTTAGTCTGAAGTTGATAAGGCTAGAAAACCTGCTGTTTGTGGCAGAATGTTTCCTTCTCCATGATTATTTGCTGCATCACATTTGTAACATGAGGATAAGCATTGTTATGCAGTGAAATCATTGCATTTTTAGCCAGAGAAAAAGATTTTTTCACTTCCAATGTAGAATTAATTTAATCCAACAGCTAAATGCATCATGACACAGGTTCTACCAATTTAAAATGAAAGTCCATTTGGGATTTTCATTTTTTTTTTATCATTTCACCTCAATCAAGACAATAATGCCACTAAGGTGCAAGGGGTTACTCGGAGGGAAAGTGAATGAGAAGACTTTAGTGAGGAGAAAGGACAATAAAAGAACAGGTTTCAGGAAGACAGAAGATGGTGATTGGCATTGCTTTTAAAGTTTTGAAGATTGTTGGCGGAAGGAAAGCAAGAGATCAGAAGAGTTCCACAGGTGAGAAGTATGAGAAAAGAAACTGAGAAAAGAACTTACAGTTAAAGGAGTTGACTGTAGTCAGGGTCATTGACTCAATGTGAATAATCTTTTCCTTAGCTGCATAGTATGTACTTCAACAAGGACTACATACAGTTTTGAATTCAGATTTTTCCTACTCCTAGACTGGTTACCACCCAATGCTATAAAACTCATTCGGTCCAACTATTTACCCATAACTGGGGGGAGAAGAGTTAGATTGAGACTTTTCTCAAGGGTTTTAGCACATAAGTGAATGCAATGAACTTGAATGGAATTCAAACTCAGATTTCCGATTCCTCAATCCAAGCTGCAATCTATCAATCCATCATACCTCCTATCAATCCATCATACCTCCTATCAATCCATCATACCTCCTAATGGTTACATCTAGCTAATTCAATCCATAATTTTTTTGATTACACATTTGTATAATATCTACTTTTCATCACCAGTGACTATCATGTCCTTAAATGACATTTTTTCTGTATAGAGCAAAAAAGCAAGTCAGGTGTTTAAAACAGTGCTTTTCAATTATAGTGTCACACCACCCAAGGTATCCAAGGTATACTGTAAGATTTTTAGATTAAAATAGTAAAACTGATGAAAAAGCAAAGCCTTTGTTCTAAAAGCAACAGTTTGATGAGTGGAAAAATACATTTAACAGTTTTTATTAGGGAGATTTTAATAGAAAACATTTCCTGTACAATGACCAAATCTAAGCAACATCAAGACTGGTCAGTACCTAGATGGGTGACTGCTTGGAAATACCAGGTGCTGTAAGCTTGGATGTGCAGGTGGTGTCATTGGTAATAGCTCAGAAGTGTTTATCAGAGAGACAAGTTTCAATTCCAGTTACAAATACTTTTGGGAAATGTATAAATCCATCTCTTCTCTCCCAGCTGTGGGTTAATTAATAAAATTTTAGCATTAAATTAGTATTATCTTCCCACACAAATTCTTACAATCTAAAGATGTTTTCTGGCTTTAAATAACCAGCAAAGGGTCAAACTGAAGAAAATAAATCAAGCAGTTGAACGAGGGTACAAATTAGCAAACACTGTCAACATTTCCTTAATATTGTTGCAAAACGGTGCTGGGAACTTTTGCACCAGTGTATTATATTTACAGCCATACCATGTTGAAACACTGGTTCTTGTACGAAAACTGAAGTTAAGCAATGTTGAGCCTGGTTAGTACCTAGATGGGTGACCATTTGGAAATATCAGCTGCTGCAATGGATAATGGTTCAGAATTGTGAATCAGTGAGCTGAGTTTTAATTCCACTTTGAAAAGATATGAATCCACCTCTTCTCCCTAGCTATGGATTAATTAGTAGAACTTATATTAGTAAATCCTTATTATCTCAAAAAAAATCATACAATCTGAAAATATTTTCTGTCTTTAAATAACCTGGAAAAGGTTGATAAACCTTAAAAAGCAAACAAATCAATCAATTGATCATGTATAATTATTTTTGAGTGTATCTGTGTGTGCTTCTGTACATGTCAGTGTGTGTATGTCATATCTGTATATGCACATATACTGATAGGTTAGTAAATTTTAGAATTGAATCATGATTTATTCTTAGGAATTTGAAATTTTTTTTTTTATCCCGTGACCTGTAGGATTGTAGGGGCACCATGTGTACAGCAGCTGCAGTAGAAGTGGTGTTTCTTGGGCAAGATAGCCTGATGGAGCCCAACTCTCTCCAGGCCAGTTTTGAATTCAGTCTTTCCTTCTCCTAGACCAGGTGTCAATCATGGATATAGATACCAGTCTGTTCTGCTATTTAGCCATAGCTGGGGGAGAAGAAGAGGATTCATACCTTTCCCAAGAATATTAATACTTAAGTGAATGTAATGGATCTGACTGGAATTCAAACTCAGCTCTCCAATTACTCAATCTGAGCTGATATCCTTTACTCCACCATGCCTCCCAAATTTGAACAAAGTACTCACAAAAAAAAGAAGAAAATTGTGTGAAAAGGAGAAGGAGGAGGGAGATATGAGAAAGGGGGGAGGAAGATAAAGGTAAAAGAGGAGAAGTACTAGAAGACTATTGATTACTTGTTTTATGATTTGTCAACCTGTTGTGTGTTATTTAAAACTGATAATTTTTTGATAAGAAACATTTTTCTAAATACAAGTCCTATTAATAAACCCATTGCTGGAGAGAGAAGGGATGGATTCATACCTTTCCCAAGGTTATTCATGTGAAAGTGAATGCAACCAACTTGACTTGAGTTTGAACTCAGCTTTGATGTCTCAGTCCAAGCTACATTTCATTACACCACCTGCACAACTCAGAGAGCAAAATAATAGAAACAAGTGAATAAGAGCAACATTAAGGGATATGGTAAGAGTCAGTGAGAGAGGGATACAAAGAGAGGGAAAGATAGAAGTGTGTAGTGAGACAGAAAGTGAGAGATGGTAGTGTGTTGTAAGACAAAAGGAGATATACACAGAGAGAGAGAGAGAGAGAGAGAGAGAAATGAGTTTGAAAAAAAGACAGTGCAGAGAAAGACAAGAGTGTGTAGTGATGACTAGAGAGAAAGATGGGAGTGTAGAGAAAGACAAAAAAAAAAGAAATGTAGGAATGTACAATAAGAGAGATGAAGAGAAAGGGTGTTTAGAAAGGCAGAGAGAAAAGAGTGCAGTAAAACAAAAAAGGTAAAGAAAAAGATGGAAGTGTGTAGTAAGATAGAAAGAGAAAGCTATTGAGAGAGAGAACGATTGGAGTGTGTAGAGAGAGGGAGAAAGAGTGGAGTGTATAGAGAGGGAGGGAGAAAGATTGAAGTGTGTAGAGAGAAAGGGAGGGAGAAAGATTGGAGGTGAAGGAGGGAGAAAGAGAAGGAGGGAGAAAGATTGAAAGGGTGTAGAGAGAGAAAGAGGGAGAAAGAGTGTAGAGAGAGAGGGAGGGAGAAAGATTGGAGTGTGTAGAGAGAGAAGGAGGGAGAAAAATTGAAGTGTGTAGAGAGAAAGGGAGGGAGAAAGATTGGAGTGTGTAGAGAGAGAAAGAGGGAGAAAGATTAGAGTGTGTAGAGAGAGAGGGAGGGAGAAAGATTGGAGTGTGTAGAGAGAGAAGGAGGGGAGAAAATTGAAGAGAGAGAAAGGGAGGGAGAAAGATTGGAGTGTGTAGAGAGAGAAAGAGGAGAAAGATTAGAGGTGTAGAGAGAGAGGGAGGAGAAAATTGGAGTGTAGAGAGAGAAGGAGGAGAAAAATTGGAGTGTGTAGAGAGAGGAGGAGGGAGAAAGATTGGAGTGTGTAGAGAGAGAAAGAGGAGAAAGATTAGAGGTGTAGAGAGAGGGAGGGGAGAAAGATTGGAGTGTGTAGAGAGAGAGAAGAAGGAGAAAAATTGAAGTGTGTAGAGAGAAAGGGAGGGAGAAAGATTGGAGTGTGTAGAGAGAGAAAGAGGAGAAAGATTAGAGGTGTAGAGAGAGAGGGAGGGAGAAAGATTGGAGTGTGTAGAGAGAGAGAGAAAAAGATGTAGAGAGATACAGAGAGAAAGAAAAGAGATTGGCATGTCTATAGAGATACAGAGAGAGAGAGAGAGAGAGAGAGAGAGAGAGAGAAAAGGGATTGGTGAGCATAGTGAGACAGAAGATTGGAGTGTGGAGAGAAAGAGATTAGAGAGATAGAGAAAAAGCTATTGGAGTGTGGAGAGAAAGAGATAAGGAAAGTAAGAGAGAGAAAAGCAAACAGAGTGTGTAGAGAGATAGTGATACAGAAAGAGAGAGAGCGAGAAAAAAAGAGATTGGAATGTGCAGAAGAACAAGTGGAAATGGTCTTGAAGAGTTGGAAATTTTCCTGTTCTTCATTCTAAAGATACCATTTCCTTACCAAGCCATCTTTCATTGGTTCTGTTGTTTTCTTCAGTTGAGAGATCCAAAGTTCACCAAGTCTTTCAAATGTTGAACCCGCCTCTCTTGCACATGCACTCGGGCAATCAACAAAGGGTAAATGTTATTCATTTCCACCTTTGTATCATGGTACCGCTTTCTATTTTTAATATGTGCAGTATGTTGGGTGGGTGTGCATCATGTGACTTTAAGATTTTACTTTCAGGTGCTGCACTTTCACCTTCAGTAAAAAACCAAAAAAAAACAAAAACAAAAACAAAAAAACAAAACAAAGAATAAAAAGAACCAAAAACCATAACAGAACAGGGAAAGAGTGTGGCTGGTGGAAGGATTTTCATTCACCATCATCATCATTACTACCATCATTATCATCATGACATCATCATCATCATCATCATCATCATCATCATCATCATCATCATCATTTAAGATTACCATCATCAGCATCATCATTACCATTACTGCCATCATCCTCATCATCATTACCACCAGCACCACCACCATCATCATTGCCATTACTGCCATCATCATCATCATTGCCACCAGCACCACCACCATCATCATTGCCATTACTGCCATCATCATCATCATCATTACCACCATCATCATTGCCATTACTGCCATCATCATCATCATTACCACCAGCACCACAACCACCATCATCATTACTGCCATCATCACTATCATGACATCATCATTTAAGATTACCATCATAATCATCATCATTGCCATTACTGCCATCATCATCATCATTACCACCAGCACCACAACCATCATCATCATTACTACCATCATTATCATCATGACATCATCATCATTTAAGATTACCATCATCATCATTTAAGATTACCATCATCATCATCATTGCGTCATCATTACTGCCATCATGACATCATCATTCATTTTTACCACCACAACCACTGTCATTATTATTGTCATCATCATCATCATATCATCATCATGTCATCATCATCATTTAAGATTATCACCACCATCATCATCATCATTACTGCCATCATGACCATCATGGCATCATCATTCAGCATTACCACCACCACCACCACTATCATCATTTACCATTACTGTCACTCTCATCATCATCATTATTCATCATCATCTTCACTACAGTCATCAATCATGACCACCATCCTCATCATTTAAGATTACCACCACCACCACCATCATCATCAAGCAGTAATTAATGATGATGATGATCATCATTATTACTGCTTTGAAGATATTGCCATTCTTGTTCTTCTTGCCAATTCCTTCCTGTTGCTCACTTCACCATTGTCAGCATCTTTAAACTTCTTTACCACCACCACCACCTTACTCTCTATCTTATATTACTGAACTTTTTCTATATTCCCTCTCTTCAAATTTTTGACCTCTCTCTTTTTTACCCCATATATATAGCTGAATCCTCCCCTGGACAGGTGAAGAAAATTGTCACTTTCCCCTGCTCTTCTCTCTGATTACCATTAACCAGAAACCTATGGTTCTATCCCCATTGCCTCTCTTTAACTCTTTCCTAATCTCCCCATCTCCCTACTGTTGTTCTGTTTCATCCTTTTATCCCTCCTCCTACCATTTCACTATTACCTCTCTCTTCCACCCTTCCTATATCCCTATTGTAATCTCTCTCCTCAATGACAAATCTATTTTCCTATTCTGAAATTTCAAATGAAAAATTTCTCACTTTCTCTATATCTTTACTGTTAAAATCTCCCCTTCTTTCTCTCTCAGAAAGGCATAGAATCATTAAATTGTTTTTAAATATACAATTGTAATTTTTCTCACTTTTTGTTTTAACTTTAAAATTTTCAGTTTTTTTTACCTTGCTTCATATAAAAATGATTTAATCTATTTGTTTGAGTCATAAATAAAAATTTAATTATACATGCCAATTAAGAATAAATTTGCAGTACAGGTGCACTGGAATAGAGAAAAATGCCTTCCAAAATGTAAGCAAAGGACAGAGGAAAAAAAAAAAAAAAATTAGGTGACTGAACTGTTATATAATATCTATTTTCCTATATAGTAGTGAATACTGGACAGGTGAAGAAAAGATTTGAAGCAACAGAAATATGGATTACAGAGATATAGAACAAAAATGAACATGTAAACAAAGTTTTACTGAAATTAAAGGTAAAAATCAGAAAGGTAGAATTGAAATTTCTAATGCATATAATATGGTAAGAAGGCTTAGAAAATTTGACACTCACAGGATATATTGAAGGCAAGAGGGACAGAGGAAAGTAGTGACTAACCCTACGTAATGAGCTTGTGTAAATGATTGACAGAACAGGGATTAGGAGATATAGCAAAAAGACAAACTTTACTAAGGTCTACAAAGGACAGGAAGTCGTGGAGAGC